CCTCGAGAACCGTCCCGTAGGACGTCTGGAAGCGGAATGAGATATGCTTCGAACCATCGCTAGGTACCCCCTATTCGGTGTGAGAAACCCCACCAATCGTGGATTTCTGCGCCATCTATCCGACGGACGCTGAAACTTCTAGCGCAATAGTACTAGCGTTTCTCCGCTAGATGGTGCCACGAATGGTGTCTAAGGAGCGACAAAGAAACACTCATGAGAGAGAAGGACAGATACGATTGTTTGACTGCGCCACCTTGTGGATTGAAGCTGGTACTATTTGGCTAGAAGTTTCAGGGTTTGCTCCACAGGTGGCGCACGTCTTACAACAAGGGTTACTCACACCGACTTCCCGGGTCTCTGGAATGGTTTAAGGTGTTCTCACACCGATTCTGATGGTTTTTTTCGATAGTTTAGTTAATTTTTTTTTATATTTCCTTTTTCTGACTATAACATTTCTAACAAAATTGTTAAGCATTCAGAATTGAAATGTACAATACATTTTCAAACATTATTTGGCGCTGAGGTATAATGATTTCACCTAGATTATCTCACACTTCATATTAAAATTATAAAATTATCTTAGTTAATTAACCTAACATGTTAATTAACCTACTCTCAATAATATTATTTCCCTTAGAATCCTTATCCCTCTGAAATAAGAAACTTAATTGTCTCGACTATCAAAAAATTCTAAGTTATCTGCCTCATCTCAAAAAACAATTAGTAAATAATCACCATGACACAAGATCCCATCAAAACCGACACGAAAACGCACGAGAAGATCCATTCTATCATTCTAAATAGCAAATATTAACGAATCGTTCGTGGAAGTCAAGTTATTAATGAATTCGCTGCGGATTTTGTTCTTATTCATTTTGCATGCCGCACATAATTCAAACCTACAACCGCTAGATGGCAGCACTTCTATATCTATCCTTGTCTTACACTAACATACACATAAGTCTATCCTTGTCTGATACCTCTTTACCAGTGATGCTTCACGCGTACGTACCAGGGACTGATGAGATGCTTCCTCCAAGAAGGTGGCACCCGCAACACTATCTCTGTCCTTGTCGCACAGTAGCGCTGTCCTTGTCTTACACATTGCGGGTATAGGGAGAAGCTTCGAAAATGCCCAGCCGCTAGATGGCGATACTGTCGGCCACGAAAATCTTGTATCCTTGTCGCACATTTGCTCCGTCCTTGTCTCACTCATTACAGGGATAGGAAAAACGCTCGATTTCGCCCCTGCGGGCTGCAGCCGGCCTTGCACAGGTGTAACTCCACGTTTGCAAGGGGCAGTCGGTCAGTATCGTAATTACCTTTATTATTAGACCTATGTTTAGACTATGTCGTAGCGTTTAACAGTAGAACTACCAGTCAAAATGAGTGGTTTCGATTTTTTAGTTAGCAGTTAGAAAGAAAGAAGAAATTTTAGTTTATTGGGACATTCATTATAGTAATGAAACTATTTATTTTCGAAATCATTTCGAATATTCAAGGCGTAGAAGATATCAATATTTTTTAGTAAGCAATTATTGATAGTTAGCAATATTTTAGTTAGCAATTATTGACAGTTGGCAATATTTTAGTTGGCAATATTTTAGTTAGCAATTATTGATAGTTGGAAATATTTTAGTTAGCAATTATTGATAGTTGGCAATATTTTAGTTAGTTAGTTACTAACTAAAAAATATTGATATCTTCGAAGCATTGAATATTCGAAATGATCTTGAAAATAGTTTCACTAGAGTACTAATAAATGTCTGAAGAAACTGAAAATAATCTATTACAATTTTTATATTAATTGCATATTAATCATATTAAATGCTCGGTAGTTCTAGTGTTAAGCGAGCCTTTCAATATTTATTCCAAATGTGTTATGTTTATACACATTACAAAGGAACGAATTTAAAAATATTTGAATACCAATTAGTCCAGTTTCTAATTAGTCCAGCAGAGAAGGGAGAATTCCAAGCAGACGATGGTAGTGTAATATATGATATGTATTTAGTTAGACACAGTACAGTATAATATTCGGTGTAACGTGTATTTATAGTTACAGCTATAGCTGCCGTTCGTAGCACTGACTTTATCCGATGATATTGTCCATTTTCTCCCAGACACGGAATTGATGTTTGTTCGTTGGCGTCATTGAGGCTTGGCTATCGATACCGTTGGAGTCGGTTATTGACATTGTTGAAGCGTTTCTGTTGCGTAAAGAAATGATTTCACGTCCACTGACGAAACGCAGTCATCTTAATAGTTAACAGACCAGTGCTAACCTTCATCAATGTTTCACTTCGCAAACGTTTCAATTTCACTCGACTCTGAATTTCCCATAGACGCTATCGATTCCCGTGTCACTGGTAATTGTCACGTGAAATTAGGCAATTTTTGTTACATTCCAACCTGTAATCTCAGTCGCTTTGGAGTTGCTGTTAACACGTTAAGCGCCACGGAAATCTTAAGCATTTTCCCATAGAGTTTGTCTTTTGCAGCAAAGAAACAGAAACGATTATGAATTCTTTGCAACGTTCGCGTTACACTATTATCAACTTAGTTGCCTTATTAAACACTTTTATTTCACATCGGTTGTCTTGTACGTTACGATTAGTTTTTAGTCATTCACAAGCGTCAGTCACCAGTGACTGACACGGCGCTTAACGCGTTAAAAGCCCGGAGATCTAATCTCATACCCCTCGAACCGACGTAATCAACCCGCAACTTCCTTGCACTTGTCCCATCGCTTAATTAATCGAATCTACCGATAAAAATTCCTCGGAACGCGCGTCTCCATCTGCTGGGATCGTTCGAAACGAATCGTGCCTCGCTTGCATCGCGCGACCGACAGTATCTAAATATTCCTATTTCCTCCGCGTTCCATATAAAAACGAGAAACGCGGCGGGCTCGCGCGATCGCGGGAAGATTCCCGATTTTTCGCGTCCCGGTGGCTCTCGTCCGGAGCTGGTGCGCGTCGCCATCTTTGAACTGCCCGTGGAGGCACGGAAGCACGCCCGTCGTGTATAAAATCAATAAAAGGCATCCTTACACGGTTAATCCACAAATATGCCCGCGTTCGCGGAATTACAGGAGCCTCTCGCCGCGGTTCAAGCGAACACGCGCGTTTCTTACGCTCTAACACTCAGCGATGTCGGACGAGCTCGCGGAAATGCGCCGATCGGATCGGTCGTGGAAAATTATCGTTACCGCGATCAGCGTCAACGACGCGTCGACCGGATTACCTCGCTCGAACTCAAAGTTCACGCCGATCCGTCGTTAACGTCTCGTTACGAATGCGACGCGCGTTACATTGTTACGCAAGCGTTCGTTTTACAGCATTCCGCTAAGATGTCTACTCTCTAACTGGATACCTACAAATACGGCGATTGCTCGAACGGTTCCGCGCGACGGTTCACGGAATTGCCGATCTACTCGATCGCGGTTCAATGGCAGTACTCGTTATTCGGAGACGATCCGATAGGAGACCGCTCGAATTTCCTGTTGCTTCGATTTTCTGATTCCTGACACTTTCGATCGTTAATTATCCGTCAACAGCGTTGAACGTAACGCTTCGAGATGAGACCGTGAAGCGGAGAGGCGTCGAGCGATCTCTTGCGCGTTTCCCTGTGAAACGACGATAATGATCCAACTTAACGATCGTTACTTTCAACAGCCGCTGATTAATGGCAGCGACGTCTAAAGGTTGCTCGCGACGCGAACCTCTTGGAGGCGACTCGCGGTCTCGACGACGGATAATATTCTACGGCTAACGATGAGTGGATACACACGGCCGGATCGCAACGTATTATATGTACATCAACACATTCCTCTAATATATCGGCTTACCCTAGCTCGTCGATTCGGCGACGATCACATTAGCCGGCTACAGTTTGCTCGGATCGATATTCACTCGCTACCCTAAGCTGAAGAAGCGGAACGCGTGTTTAGAGCGGTGCTCCCGTGAAAATGATCCTACGAGGAGCGTCACCGTTCAAAGTGTCCTCGGCGCGTGCTACACGTTAACGGCCAAATGTGAATTTACAGTTCGAACGTGACTTAACGCTAGGCTCACGGACGTCTCGTTCCGTTGTCCCGATGGCAATCGACGTCCGTTGGATCTTGGATCCGTCGAGTTCGGATCGCTTCGATCGAAATCGACGTTTGACGCGAGTAAAATTCGATATCCCTCGAGTTACGGAGCCAGTGTTAACCCCTTGACCTATATCTTTCTCGACTCTGATGCGGCTGCTTTGTCGTTAACAATTGGAAAAGAATAAATTGTCGTTAACAATATTGGAAGAGGAAAATTCTAAGCATATGTTATGCCTATTTCCTTTCAAGCATAGTAAAATCGATAACAGAGGAATAAAATTTACTTTTCGAATGAACCGAGTTTTTTTGTCGAATGATATTGAAAATCTTCACTCGTTGTAGGACAAGGGGTTAAAAACGTCCAAACAATGGCCCGGCTGTTTCGCGAGGAGGATTCGCGAGAAAGTTTCCAGCGAGCCTGTTCGGCGTCGCTGCGTTTCTTACTCTCGATCCCCGGCCGACACGCGAGAGATCGTTCGCGAAGGAAACCTGGTTCTAGATCGTAAAAGGAGTAAAAGGTTTTGTAATTGCGCGTACATGGTGCAGCGGCGGCACGAACCCGCTATCGTGGCGTATACGATATGTGTGAAGGAATTGGCACGGATACACGCGTTATACAAAAGGTATAGTCTGCGAAAATTGTTCCCACTTCCTGGCCGTAAACCGAAGCCCTCTCGATCTTTGAGCCTCTAGATCTCGAAATCTCTGCTCCCCTTGGCTCTCTCTCTTTCTCTCTCTCCATCTCATTTATCGATTCGATTGGTCCTTCCGAGCGCTGCTCGACGTCGATCGTTTCGAGGACGGGGACACGCGTCGAGGAAATCGCATCGATTGCACCGCGAGCGGGATACGGTTAACCCATTTGCATCCAAGCGCGGAATATTCCGCGAAACACGACTGTATTATCACCAAGAGCGGAATACGACCGATCGCGCGCGATACGGGCCAATCGTCGGTTGAACGTCGCTGACGCTGGCAAGCGACACCTTAAGGAGGCACATGATGCAAATGGGTTAAGCGTATTCGGCGATGCCTCGTCGCGGAGCGGCCGGAATAAGTGTGATCGGAGTCTGACCGGATGGGAGCCGGAGCTGGAAACGGTTCGTCGGTTCCGGTTTTTCGAACGGTTGAGAACTAGAATATAGTAACCGTTGTTAACCACTTGCGGTGGAGAGACCGACGTCGAGATGCTTCTGTTAGAGGAACGTCAGCGACGTTTCGACAGGCGATTGTCAGAGAAATGTCAATTTTCCAAATTGTTTTGAAAGATATGGTAATATGCGAGATTATTAACCAGCACTCCAGAGGCGACTCTAAGTCACCAAATGATTTGACACAGCAAAACTGTACACTTTGATGTTTAACCCTTTGAACTCTGTAGGCTCCAGTATTGCACCAGTTATAACATTAAATATTTCAATGAATCTTAAAGAAACTACCCTAAAATTATTCGATTTTCCACGTATCCAAATTCTGTACTAAGAAGGAAAATAAAAGGAAGGAATGTTATAGCATTTCTCATTTTCGATAGTACTATAAAAATTAGCTGCAGTTGCTGATGGGTTACAAAAGAACCTGGAGTGCAAAGGGTTAATAAACAAATTTAGTACTTATACATGTGTAATTTTATCACCAGTCGATGCGTCTTTATATTCTCTTCTGGAACACGTCGAACTCCTCGCCTCGAGTTACAGTTCACTGTTCTGGCACGCGCAACCCTGAACTTCTTCACACCGCAAGTGGTTAACACTAAAACTACCGAGCACTTCAATTGACTTTCGAAAATTCCTCTATAGAAACTCCAAGAGTGCATCTGTTCAGATTCTAATTGATTCACAACTCAATTTGCGCAGTGCTAAATGAATTTCTTCAATAATCTCTCAGAGAAACATTTGTTACCTTCCTAATAATTGCAAAAAGCAGACATCAGGCATAGGTCATTTGACGCCTCTGGTAGTTTCAGTGTTAAGCGTATCGGCTCCGATCGGCCGATAGTATTCCGTTGTTTCCTTCCAAAGGAATAAAGAAACAGCCGAAACTCACAGATATAAACATCTGTAGTTGCACAGACATCCAACAGTTAGCGTACCAACGACAGAAACCGATCCAGAACCGATACACGCAACACTGGTTACTTCATCTCGCACAGCTGTTTCACTCGGAACCGATCCACGACAGTTCGACTTATCTCGAGTCCCCGACGCTGGCCGATCTCCCGATCAGAGGTCCAGTTCATCCCGGAGAACGCGCGTCTCTGAAGAACGCCGATCGGACGATCGTTCGTCGACGAAATTCCGGTGCACGGCCGACGGAGGAGTTCAGCGGCGACGATTAAACCTATCGATTCAGTTTCTTCGGTTGGCCACTGTTGGACAGGTGCTTCCAGAGGCCGGTGATCAGCGGCACGTCCCGGAAGCTGTCGGCCGAAGGCTACGCCTGCTACGAGCACATCAGGTCGACCGACCGCGACTCGCCCCAGGCGTTCTGCATTTTGAAAGCTGTCGTTGGCCTCGGCACGACGTGGTGCGAGGCCGCGGCGCCGGCGTGCCTCAGAGTCGTCATGGGAATACTGCTGGGGCTGCTCTTCTTCTGCACCCTCTTCGCGCCGTCCTGCCCCGTCTCCTCCTCGAAGCATACCTGCGGACATTCCATTTCGACTTTCACCACGGAACTTACACGCGGGAACCGGCCAACGGAATCGAGTTTCCCGAATTTCTCCGCGGAAACTGGGAAAGTGTTTATTGGGATTTCAGTTTGCGCTCAAGCATCTTCGGGGATTTTCCCCGGGGATTCCGGAAGAATCCCGAGAAGAATTTATATTTTATGGAACCGCGAGAGAGATAGGGAACCGTTTCGATCAGGTTTGAGTACGCGTTTTCTATTTCGAAATTTTAATAGCGAAACCCGTACGCCGACTTAACTTTGCGCGACTGATTGGAAGTGGACCGTATTAACACGTTAAGCGCCGTGTCAGCCACTGGTGACCGACGCTTCTGAATGACTAAAAGACAATCGTAACGTACAAGACAACCGATGTGAAATAGAAATGTTTAATAAGGCAACTAAGTTGATAATAGTGTAACGCAAACGTTGCTACGCCGAACAATTCATAAGTATTCCTACTTTTCTTCGCTACAAAAGACAGACTCTATGGGAAAACGCTTAAGATTTTCGTGGCGCTTAACGTGTTAATATTTACTTCGGTGGAGATAACTGGCTGTTTATTAAGAGAATTCGGTGATACTCGTCAGCGGTGTCTACAACGACGTCTGTACACTCCGTCTCGTTTGTCTAGCTTGAATCTATCTTGTACGTCTATCGTCTCCGTATCCTGCGTGGGTTTTTATAAACCTTTGGGTAGGCGTGTGCAAATTGGAAGTCCGCCTGATTCGTAGCCTTCCAAGGTAATGGGCGTGTACAAACAAATTCCTTCGAGTGGGACTAACTTCCCCTCGACCAGCGATCCTAGAGGGGTTGCCGATTGCAACCCCGGGTGACCCACGCAAGGGTCCCGAGCGTTCTCGTCACTGACCATAGCGAGTAATAAAACCAAGGATCGTCTCGACTTCTGGCAAACGGGCGTAAGGTTAAAACTATGGTGAATCTACAAAACTGGCGAAACGTGCCGTAGCAACTGCGACTAAATTAGCGAAGCAACGGTTCCTTGGGCTTTTATTCCTGCCATGGTAAAAATACCCAGGGCTCTAATGTGCCTCTCAGGTTTCGTCGATAGCCCTCTTAAAGCGATTTCGTGACGCGACACGTGTCTCTCGGACGGGTATCGGACAATCGGTTTCACTTCGGCGAAACTTCTTTTCGTCTTCTCAGAATTCAGGGATCGAATCGCATTTCCGGTTAAGCCGAATTCTAATTACGTGTAACGTTAAGCTTCGCGCGATGCATTAGTGTCCGAAATGTCGAAACAACGTAGGTTCCCTTTTAAACATACGTATTTTCTTGTCAACTTTCAAGGAACGTCGAGTATCGAGCACAGAATGTTCCCGGTGGTAAACTTTCGAACGCGAAAGGGGTAAACCGTAAGAATCCGAATCCCTCGGTTCCGCGAGGACAGAATCGAGTTTCGTCGCTCACCCATGAGTTTCCCGCGGGCTTCGTTTCGTTCGACAGGTCGATCAGCAGGCTCTTCTGAGAACCGTTCGGGGTGTTCCGGTGCTCGCCGGGCTTGTTCTGCTCGCCGGCTTTCCCCGCGGATTTCGCGTCCTCCGGCTTCTTCTTCTTCTCCTCCTCGTCTGCGAAGGGAAACGACAAGATCGGTGAGAAACGGAAAATTCGCGGCGGGATTGATTTTCCCAGCGGAGGAACACAAGTTCCAGCGACGTTGATTCACGGCAGCCCGTTAATTCGCAGCCTCCCGTCGGTCCGCGCGAACTGCTGTCCGGGAAACGCTGCCGCCTCATTAGTCGCCGATGTGTTCGGCTGTTTATGCTGTCGCGAGCGCGTTCCGCGCCGACGGACACCGACGTCCCGTGGAAAAGCCGGCGAACCGACGGGACCGCGTCGAAAAACTCGCTGGAAATCGGTAAAGCCCCGTTTAAACTTTGCGCTCTGCTTCCGGTGGATACCTCGGGCTAATCCGGTCGATCGATACCTCGGAAGCGGGCGGAATTATTTAGTCGCGACGCGGGTTCCCGCGGATTATCCGCCAAGTGTGCTCCGCTCGAGTATAAACTATTTCGACGCGATCGAAAATGAAACGAGGAAATGATCTCTCAGCTTTATAGCGGACATCTCGCGTTTTAGACTAGCTACCTGCTGAACGCTTGCTTCCAGCTCCGTGATTGGAGAACGGATGGATGATTGGTTGAACTCGCATTGGTATCGTTATACAGCGGAACATCGTACAACGCGACTAGAAAATTCTGCGTTTACGAATTTACGAAAATTGTATTCCTTTCTTATGAAGAATTTCACTCGTACAGTCGCTTTTTCTAGAATCCTTGAACACGCGGGTTCCCGCGGATTATCGGCCAAGTCCGCGCAAGTATTAACTATTTCGACGCGATCGTACGCACAGAGGAGACGCAGCGCGGGGAACGCAACTATCAGCCGTAGGCGATAAATATAATTCCGTAGGAGCAGACTCGAAGGTGTCCGCGCGAATAAAGGCAGCGCGGAAACTGTACTCGTCCTACTTTTCCGTAACGCCGCCGCTCCAGCTGCGCGAAGTTCAATATTACCGGACAATATCCCGGCTGCACTCGTAACCTTAGCCGAAGCTTTCCGCAATATCCTCGCTCCTGGGGGTTAAGTGCACGAACACATGGGCGTCGCGTCGTACCGACAATGCGCTTTTAGGCTGCGTCGGACGCCGCTGCACGGCGCCGGAGGATCGTAATCTCCTCGAGTTTGCCGAAAATTTATCGTTTTTTCCGTGAATCCTCTGTTCGGAGCGCGCCCCGACGAAACGGGAAGTATGTTTGTAGCACTCGGAGGCTGAGTGCGAGCTGAAACTGCGCGGGACGAGGGAAATCGAATGCTTATCAGAGACAAGCGGAGACGAACGCGACGAATCGGAGAAGCTGTCTGTCGCGATGTAAGGGGCGATTGAATATTCGCGACGACGTTTGCGAGGTATTTATTAACGTAAATGAGAGCTCGGAGGCAAAACTGGTAATGGCTTCTTCGCGCGTTTCCGCTTAGAAACTTCGAGGGTGGAGCTAATCCCCATCTCCGTCACCTCGATTCTTGGCAGGGGAAAAATCGTGAATTTCTAATCTTTTGAAAGGCGCCTTTTGTTTCTTGCCTTTTGCCTTTTGTCTTTGGCCACTTTTGTTTTGTGTCGTGTGTGAGAATTGCGAGCTGGAGCGAACGAAGTAATAGAGAGAGTATTGAGAGAGTATTGCGAGTATTGCGAGTATTTAATTATAATTTAAAATTAAACTTGAAATTTACTTTAAACCTTGCCCTTGATTCATTACAAATCCCACATTACTCAGTTCATTCGAATGCAAAGTAAATATTATTCCTCTGTAATCAACTATTATACTTAAATGGAGACATAGGCATAACATATATTTAGAATTCTTCTCTTTGCCCAATAAATTATTAATGAGAAATTAGCCGTATCGATCAGAGTTCGGAAAGAAATCATAGGCCAAGGGGTTAATTGCCTATACCTAAACATCTGTAAGCGATCAATGCTGTTTCACCGTCCGTTGCTCCCGTGCAGTTCCAGCTCGCGACTAAATCAGCCAAGAGGAAAGTCGCGAGACGAACGAATTCGGGTACCTGTTCTGATCTCGGTTAACGAGGGGCTCTTATCCTGCGGGTGATGGATCCTGGGGTCCGCCTGGGACAGCTGCCAGGCCTCGTAAGCCGTGTTGAACGCCTGGGCGACCGTCAGCGTCACCGTCTGCGCCATTTTCCTCTTCGGGCAGAGGAACGCGTGGCACTCCATCGTCTCGTTCAGATTGGTCGCGATGAACGCGAACACGTGGTCGTGGGTCGCGTCCGCCGAGCAGTACGAGATCCTGGAAAGCAACGCGCCCGTAACGAGTCGTCGTCGCGCTCGAGTAGGCAACCGGAAATCAACCGTCGCGTCGCTATCCGCGTTACGTAACATGCAAATTATTTTCCTGCGAGAGCGCCGGCCGAGCGTACGCGTGTAGCTGCTCGAGCCTCGGTTACCCGACAAAGGAATCGCGACGGAGGAAGCTTTCGCCGAGAGCGACTTCCGAGGAAGACGTCTCAACGCGTGAAACTAAGCGTCGCGCCGATGTACCTCGTCTCGCGTCTGCGGGGAAACTCGTGTCTTCTATAATGTACCGAAACTTTGTTTCTTCGTTCGGAACGATCGCTTGTGCGATCGGTTTGTCGATGGTCGCTGGTCGGCGCGGACACGAGGACCTGTTGGCTCGCGTCGAATCAAGGAGCTTCCTCCGTTTCGAGTCCCGATCGCGTGTCGAACGCTTGCTGGATGATTAAAGCGGCGTTCGAGCTCGATGTATCGCGAGAACGTATTGTAGTAGATTCTGTTCTTTCTATCGTTGCTCCCGCGAGCTGTAGATCAGCGAAAGGAAAGCAGGAAAAACGAAGGAAAAGAAAGAGAAGAGGAAAAAGGAAGAGGGAAACGGGAAATCGTTCGGATGCTAGCACGCAACGATACTCGAAACAGCGACTGCGGTCGGTTTTATCGAGCAGCCGGAAAAAGGGAGGCCGGACGCTGCGTCAGGTATCGGATACACCTATTCGATAAATCATGGTTTCGGAATTGGAGGGAGAATAATGCTCGGCGGCCGGAGCGCAATCGTGTAACGTTTGCTCGCCGGCATTATTACGCGCCGCTTCGTAACACATTTCTGGCCCGAATATCGGATATTATGCTGGCTGACGCAAGGGAAAACGCACAACGAGCGCGAACCGACGAATCCGGTTCCGTCCGATTACAAGCTGCGCCCCGTGACAGCCGCGCGTACGCGCGCGGAACAGGAAACGTCTGGGATACGCGCTCGTGAAACTCGACGTCCCGTTTCGTACATACCTGTATATAGATACTTGAAGCTGATCTTCTTCCGTGGCGAGGTCTGTCATTCTGATCCCCTTTAAACTCACGGCTAGAGAAACTCTCTGCAGCTTCTTGCCGCTCGCCTTCGCCTGCGACGTTCAAAAGATACCCATCGTCTTAACCTGTTCGTTTCTCGGGATTACAGACTGGGGACGATCGGGGGGAATACGTTTGCGTATCGCGAGATCTGCGACTACGGGCTGAGAAACGCGAAAGAACTCGCGCGGAGACGAGTCAACGTAGCGGCTTAGAGCCTGAAGATCTCTTTCGTTTCGTGCTTTCTTCGTGGTTTTCATCGGTTAGCGGAATAGCGAATCAGCATTGTAAACGAGACAACGGACGAAATTGACCAGCGACGCCCGCAGTCCTCGGGCGATCGAGCGAGCAGCCAAGTTTAGGCGACGCGGCGCGCAATTACGCTTACCAGGAGCCACCGTAATCCGTGTACACGCTGAAAGGTGTCTAGCTGCGGCGAACCTCTCGAGGGGAAACGCCCGGAGCTCCGTTAGAAGTAACGGAAGTGCTCGCCGCGGGGAAACGCTTCCGGGCGAGAGACACTCTATTCTCCGGCATCGAAAACGTTTCAGCGGGACCGTGCATTACGGCCATATTGTCGGCGGGCGAGACGCGGCCGGACTCTTTCTCGCTCCCCGGGAAGCCTATCTTTATCAACTCGAAACGCGCCGCTATTGTGTCGTCGGTTTTACGGCCGCTTCGCCGTCTGGCCGAGCGAACCACGGAAAGAAAGGGGATCGTTCGGAAACGAACCGTGCACCCTCCGGAGACGACCGACGTCTAGCGAGACGGTACAGAGGTTTGTTCGTGTTATTGTCCGTTTCGTTTGATTATATTCTTACGGTCGCTCCGTTGTATCGACGAATAGTGAGCATCGAAAATGAAACGAGGAAACGAGCGATCTCTCAGTTTTATAGCGGACATCTCGCGTTTCAAGCGACTAGCTACATGCTGAACGCTTGCTCCGTGATTGGAGCTGGAACGGATGGATGATTGGTTCAAGCACAACCTATAGGAACTCGGAAATCGTACAACGCGATTAGAAAATTCTGCGTTTACGAATTTACGAAAATTGTACTACTTTCGCATAAAGAATTTCACTGGTACAGTAGCTTTTTCAAGAATCTTCGGATCACGTTGCAGATGATATTCAACTATTCAACCGAGCGTTAAGAGTGGCCGCTTCCTGTTGTGCATTTTCAAGTTGTAGGTAGCCTAGGACAGTGCCGAGGCGGCGCGCGGCCTTTCACGGGAGCGTAATTGCGGGCCTCGAGACGGCCACTAAACGGCGCATTTAACGAATTAACTTGACCGAAGATTACGGAAATCCGCTTAATGCGCGAATGTCCTATGAAATTGAGAGATGCTCGTAATCCTACGTTCTCGGGGCCGGCGCCGGGCCTCGCCCGGAACGAATAATAGGAACAACCGGCGCAGTCCCTTCGCGCGAGTGCAATTAAAAGCAAACGCGATTATTACTCGGAACGGAAGCAGCGTTTCGCGAACGGAAGACACGAAAGGAAAAGATAGCGTCACCGCTATTTCCCGTTTATCTCGTCGAACGTCACCGCGTTAGGGACCGTTATTGATAACATAGTAAAACGTTCGAGTAATCAACGTTTAATCGAGCGAACTACGGTATTACTCGAACCGAACGAGAAGAAGACGGGGAAGTAAATTCCGAGCCGGAAGGAGGTGAACGGTAAGTTGAGAGCCGAGAGCCGGGAGCCGCTATCGACCCTATCGGAAGAGCACAGTTTACTCCGTCGAAAAATTAATGAGCCGGATCCGACGCGAGCGACCGGCGTACGAAGATTTATGCGCCGCGTCGCCGGCGAGTTCTATTTTTTCGGGAACACTTTGGGGTCGCGGTCCGCGCGGAGCGATTTTTCACGGTTCCCTCCTAACGCGCGAAATTGGATACACGCGGCGATACCCCCGATCGATCAACCGTGGAACGATTCGTCTTGCGATATCGCCCCGTTTCTCGGCCCGTGAACGATCGCCGGCAACGTGTGTCGATTTCCGCGCGCCGGAAAATAAGGCGATCTCGTCCGCGTCGTCGAACGTCTGTTTTGTGTGCTGTCGCTCCAAGAATATCGCGCGATGACTGGCAGCCGCTCGAGATCGATTCGAATGAATAAACGAACGGTCGAAATTGCTCGAAATATCCGCGCGATCGTCCGAGAGTACCGGGGGGAAAAAGGATAATAGCGGATCGCGAGATTGAGATGGATCGGAGGTTGCGCACGGTACGTACCATCGTAATGACGGTCTTGATGGCTTCCGCCGTCGCCTCTTCGCTGGAGGGCGTCTCGACGAGGGTGCTGCCCAAATATTTGAGGGTGAACCGGGCTTCCGACGCATCCTCGGATTCCTCGTGCGTCGTGCCGGCGGAACCGCTGCCCTCCACGCATTCGCGGCTATTCGCCAGAGCCCATTCCTCGCATAGTTCTGCAAGTTAACGTCGACTATATTGAAATCCGCCCGACAACATTCCTCCTGTTATTCGTTAATTCCCGAGCCCCGCAGGGCTCGCGGACGTTTGTTCTACACGCTTTGTCCTATTGCTCCTGGGACATGTTCATCCGGATCTTAATAATAATACGCGTATCAGAGCGAACATTGGTCGATCGAGCTCGAAGGCAATTGTAAGAAGACTGAAGTTTAATGCGATAAGTCGACAATACAAAGGTTGATGAGCAATCGCGTTCCGTAAATAGATAAATCGTGCGATTCGATCACGACTTCGTTTCTTCGCACGGATCGCGTCGCGCGACGGTCGCCAGCTGAATTCCGCGCGGAGGAAGCCGAGATCACGTTCTCCCCGTCCGCGTCCTATCGAGAATAGTTTACGAACCAATAATGGCCGCGGCACGCTTGTCACGGCGACCTCATGTCCCGTTAATTCATCCCCGGACACTCGACATATCCGAGGAACGATCGATCCCGGTTAACGACGACGGAGAATCGGTGCCCGGCGACGTCTCGAGCTTGATACGCAGTTCCTTTGTCGCTCGGTAATTCGACGGGAGAGCCGGTTCTTATCGAGATTTCCATTATCGAGGGGAATTCCGGCGGACGGTAATTGTATCGGAAAGTTACAGCGCTTTTCCGACGGGAATAATCGAGGAACGCAGCCAGCCCCGAGAGCCAGACGCGCAAGCACCGATCGATCGGACCGCGCCGAAGAGCCTCCAAGTTCCGAGAGCAATCGTTCCGAGCGGGAGATGTACGTTATCCCAGGCAGCTCGCGGGGAACGACAAAAGCAAGCACTCTCCTCGCGGAAGAATCGCGGGAGGACAAAGTTTTCCCTCGCTTTCGAGGTTCGAAGGGAAATCGATGCCCGCGAACTGTAGCGCGTTCCTCGACGTCCCGAACTGGTGGGGCGGGGAAGAGCTTTGCGCCGACATCGACGGATCAAACGGACTCGTTCAGACGCTCGTTGACCGTGAGTCGCGAAGTTTCCATTTTTCGCCGCGTGTCTTGCACACTCGAGCACCGCTCCGTTCGGTAATTACGCCCTCCGGTTTCGTTCCGTCTCGTTTCGGGCCAGACGTCGCTCCAATTAACTTTCCCCCGGCCGCGATCCAATTAGACGATCCGACGATTGTTTCGATGTCCAACGATACCCTTTTCCGCTGCGAGCCCGCACAAAGCCCGCGACCGTCCGTCGGAGCGACTTCCCTTTGACGAAAAACTTGGGGTTCCGAGCGGACAATTAACGAAAATGCTTTGAAACGCGCCCGTTCTACGGATCTTTTGTCCGCGCCCGGTGTTTCCATCCGATTCTCCGTAGCCGGCCGTTCGACCGAGTTTCCGCCGACGGAGGAACGCCGGCCGATCGAGAGGAATCGGATCGATGGCTCGCGCGAGCGGAACCGAGGAGCCCTCCACTCGCGAGGGAGCTGTTTTAACGTTGCACAAATGAGCTCCGGCCTCGAAAGCTGCAGTCGAGAGCGGAGCCTTTACAGCCGCAGCTCGAAAACCTGAAGCTCCTACGCTCGAGTCTTTAAGCTCGAAGAGTCGCGCCGTCTGTTGCTAAATTAACACCGCGGAGCTGCAGCCCGGGAACTTTCGGATGCCTCGAAGATTGAACGTTAAGCTCGAAACTTTCAACGCCGGCTCGACGTGCCAGCCGGCGGCTCGAGTCTTCGACTGTCTTCGAGCATAAAGACTCGACCGGCGAAGACTCCCGAGGCTCGACGCGAGTTTTCGATGATTCAAGGTTGAGTCCCGAAGCCTCGAAGATTCGGACTTCGTCGAACTTTGAACCTTTAAGCCTCCAAGTTCCGAAGACTCGAGCTTTATCGAGCTCCGAGCCTTTAACGCCGAGCCCCGAAGCTTCGAAAACTCGAGTTTCGTCGAACGCCGTGCTTCCGAGACTCAGCCCCGAGCGGTGAGCCCCGAAAGCTTCGAAGACTGCGGAGTTTTACAACACTAGGCTGTTTCGAGCGGAGCCCATTCCTCGGGGCACTCGAGGTTTCTCGCTCTCGCCGCGCACTCGAAAGAATTGAAAGCAATTACGTCGGGTTTTCAGCAATTACCGCGCGCCGCCGGTACCTCGGTGCCCCGCGGGCCGTAGAAAAGTAAGCCACTCGCCGAGTCCGGGGCGCCCCGACACTTCAGCTCGGCTGTAGTTTAATTCCGCTTAATCAAAAATATTCGCCGCCGTTAGAGCCGCCAGCCGCGCCGGGACAAGGGCCTGTAAAGTAACGCCGCACCGAACAAATTGCCAGCGGAACGAGCCGGCTCCGCTCGCGGTTCAGCCCGCCGCGAACGCTCGCGACTCCTTTCTGCGTCCCTTAATAACTTCCGGTTCGGCTGCGGACTTCCGCGGCACGCCGCGGCAACAAAAGAACGATAGAAAGGCCGGTGAAAAATCGAATCGAGACCTCCATCAGCCCGACCGCCGACGGGTGAACCGCAAATTAAATTGTCCCCGCGACCCTTCGATGCCGAGGTCGTTTCGCTTTTGTTCGGCCGGGGATTCGTTCGGATACCTTAACTCTATTAGCACTGGATCGACGGACGTGCAGTTTCTTCCACTGTTCTCAGAAAGAATATTATTCCCATGGGTCGAACCGATTCGAACCGTAACAATTCTTAACCAGTTAAGTGTGGAATTTAGTTTGAAAAATCTCTCATTGCGCGCAATAAAATCAAATAATGAAGCGTATACTCGTTAAACGCATGCACTTAAAATATATCCTAACGAAGAACTATAGCGAAACGAAGAATTACGTGTTTGTCTCGGAAAATAAATGATCGTAGATTAACCGGTTAACCTCTCACCCCCAGATTCCCTTCGCCAGACAGCTTCGTCCTTAATAATTCACTCGAAAGCGAAGAATGCCCGGAAACGAACGACTTTAATTTCGAACAAATATTCCGGAGGAAGGCCGGCCAACTCTAACGGTAATTTCCTCTTCCCGGTTTCATAGATTTATTTATGAAGCTAATAATACAGAGCACAGCTCGTTCCCGGTGAAAATCCGAACGATCCCGTATATCACGAAAAACGGATCGCGCACGACCGTTGATTGCATCCGAGCTCGCAACGAGCCAATAGCCGGGTACACACTTCCGCGAAGAGAAATGCCTTCCCGTCGGTCGTCCATACTCGCCGTCGGGCGCATTAACGTCGGAGCACGGATTAATCGAATTATCCGGCGGGCCGTTCAATCGTTCGTCCCGATCAAGAATATGTTATGAACTTTTTATCGTGCCGACCGCCGATCGATCGGACGGAGCCGATTAATATTCATACGCTGTAATCGTTCATAAGTAAACTGGTTGCCGACACGTCGGATGAATATTTAACGGCGCGCGGATTATAATGGGCCATGGTACAACGACCGGCCATTTTTTCCTTTCCCCGTGAAATCCCCGCGTTCGTTCGGTACCGCCGCTGCGGCCCGCCGGGGAACGGGAAATTCACGGGGAGGAAGGAACGCGGGACCGCGCGCGCGGTAATTCCTGTACAAACTACAGGGCGCAAACAGTCTCGAGCGTGCGGCGCAATCGGCGGAGCTGAATCGCGGGAATTGCCCGCAACCCCGGACAGCACTGAGACCCGGGACTCGAGACCCGGGAGCCTAGCCCAGTCCTTAACGCGATTGTTTACGTCGGGTCCCGCCGCCGAGCAGCGGCTGGAATTTCGATCGAAATTCCGCGAAGCGACGCGTGTCGATCCGCCGTTTTAGAAAATCAAATTTAAGCCGCGAGCCTCTTAACCCTTAACCCTCTGCGGTCCGAAGTGCTCTTGGTTTCTCACTTTGAGGTTCGCGTCGACGTTAGTTGATTCAATTACAGGTTAATGTGACGCTATTTATTCAAGAATATTTGGGAGTCATTGCAATGTTATCTTTAAACGGTACAGTTGCGATACTACAAATAAATATAGAAGAAATTGTTAACACGTGACTGCTATGGGGGTCACCCCCGACCAAATCGAATTACTATAGTTTACTCAGTGAAACGACGATTATGTGAAAACGTTTTTATATTATAAATAGTGCTACATAATTCAGGTAGATGAACGTGGAATAGTAATAATGTAATTCGATCAAATGATTTGATATATTTTTTCCACTCGGCGTATTTTCCTCTGTGAAATCGTGCGGCGTTCAACGTGTTAGAACAGGTGGAGGTTGCAATAAAATAGAATGTCAGACATAGGACTAAGGGTTAACGCATCGGACAAACTTCAGGTTGACTTGCGCGAGAAAGTACATAGATGAACAGAAACGAATTAGTGACGTAGCAATATATAACGAGTGAAAATGCATGCAGAAGTACTGCACGGATTGGTTCAGTTCAATTCCAGTGTTTTTCGATGGTCGAAGGTAACTGATGAGACAAGGTCAATTAAGGGATGAAGTCGTTCCAGTACTGTGTATATTATTATAAGGTTAATATTACACACAAGACTCTCTAATTCCGCCAAATCGAGTCACCTGTTGCCTGCGAAGAGTTAATAGCGTTTCAAGATATTTCTAGCGCTTTCCACATTCGCTTCAAATGATTCTCTATTTTCGCTCGTCTTGTTGCGTGAGCGCTCGGAAGAATTAAGAGCGGAGTTTAATCCATTGCTCTCGAGAGGCGAGCCTCGGCAAAATTAGGTCTTCTATGTAATATCAACCTTTGTGCGGCGATACGAGTGTTCCCAGCGAAACGCTTTCAAGTGCGGAGGGATGATAAATTTCTCAAGGTCATCGACTAACGGGGCATTATCATTCGTGGATGATAAAGGCTGCGAACAGCGGCGTTCCGTATCGATTGGCGCGCAATCAACGGCACGGTATCGTTAAGACTCGACAAAAGCCGGTTCGGCTCGATCCTCGAGCGGGTCTCGTCTCGTCTCGCCGCGTCGCGCGCATCCCTCGCGCACCGTTTCACCCCGTTCGACGATGAACCGTTTCGAGGTTGATCAAGGCGTAAACGGTCCGCC